TATTTAATCAGCAATCAGAATATACATTAAGCTAATGTTATGGCTGTTTAGATGACTTGATGAGGAGGCGTCCAGCGGCGAATCCTCAGTAATTTAAATCAGGTCAATTGGCAAGTTTCGTTTGAGTCGTCTGTTGTCTTGTCTTGTCGATAGCGTCTTTAGGAGTGGGGTTTTGTGAGTTATGATTTTGTTGTGATGTCTGTTGCTTTTCTGTTGGACGACGACCTGTACGGGAGATATACCGAGATCGGTGTGGAGAGTTGCGTTGGAGACATACCCTGGTGCGTCGACTGTCATTCGTAGGATCTTAGATTGGCTTCTTTGGATTATTGCTGTGTTGGATTTGCTGGCGCAGCCCCATAGTTCCAGGCCGTACGTCCAAATAAGTATGATTATAGTCTTGTAGATCGTGAAGTGTGCAAATTACTCTCAGTGACAACCTAGTTCAGGTTATGCTCTAGATGTTAGTGGATATCGTTTCCCTGAATCTAAATGACGTCACTTACAGCTTACACGCAATGTTCCTTTCCCTCTATTCTGAGCTCTGTGATTGGACATCAGAAAAAGACTCATTACAAAATAAACGGCTTGCACAATAATGGAGAAAATGGCGGATTGAAGAAAGAGGAGCAGTCTCATAGAAATCGACGGTCGTTTAGACCAGTGGTTCTCGACGGGGGCCATATGGCCCTCCAGTGGGCCAAGCCGTATTTCTGTGGGGGCGCAGACAAAATTTGGAAAAATGGAGGGCCATGGAAACTGTTAAGTGGGTCACAAAATTTTCACTCCTAAAATACAATTATTAATAATATAAAAAGAAATAAAAATGCCAAATGGTCAGTACATATTGTAACATGTTGCGCGACTGAGAACCCCCGTTCCTTTTCCGTCCCGTAGCTGTTCTTGCTGCGTCTCCTGTTATTTGGCTACCCTTCTTCCAGCGATTGTTCTCCGGCTGTTACAACCGCTCCCCTCTTAACACCTGCTCGTCTCGAGCGGTTTCCTTCCAGTTCGCCAGAAGATCACATTCGTCCATCACTTTCATTCTATGGCACATTCACTCTCAATGGGGAGGGAGCAGTGTAACGTGTCTTGCGTTGTACTGTCACAGTTGTACTGTGACATCCGCCGAGTTCTAATGTGGGTACCAGTGAGTTCTACTGTAGCAGTCGGCGACTTCAGTTGTACAGCCGCCGAGTTATAACGTGGCCATCGCCGAAGATAGTTCCGAGCAAGCTTACGAGAGCGTGTTATCAACAGTTCTCCAGTCAGCGGACTATAGTTGGAGTATAGCAGCCGTCGCGG